ATCTGGCTTTTTGGTAGTTTATTGGTCTTACCAGCTTTCCTACCCTGTCTTCCAATTGCTATCTTCAGATCTCAGCTTCCTGAGTAGCTAGGATTTAAGGTGTGAGCCACCTGCACCTGGCTATGTTTGTTTATTTTTAAGCTTTGCTGGTCCTTTTGCTTCTGTTAATTTTTCCATTGGTTTTAGGGAGGGCACATTCTTTTATTTATAATGCTTGATTAAATACTTTTACCTAAGCATGTTTAACTTTTTCTAATCAAGTTATATAAAATGGAAAAAATTAATCACTGCTTGCTTTTGACTACAGATAAATCTATGCAGCATCACAAATCATTTTGTTGTTTACTAAAATTATTTTCAAAACAACAGGAAATATATTTCCCTTTGTGACTTCTGATTAAGCAATCAAAAGCTAACATATAATGATTAAAAGCTATTATGGCTATTATTGAAATTGAAAAAGAAGCAGTTTATGACTGAATATTAAGTAGAAAATAAGCTTTTATTTATCACAGAATATTTATCATAAAGTAGCAGAAATCTCTTACTAGTTATCTGGATAGGGCTGTGTGTGTGCGTGTAAGTTTTTTCACTATAGCTTTGATAGTAGTTCAGCTGGGAGAATCACCTTTTAACAATGACTTTGCTTACCACATCAGTTTAAAATACTCTCAGCATCTTAAGTTTTCCTCAGTTTACTAAATTTTGGAAGTCAAACTTATAAGTGATAAGCTTTTTTTTAGAATTACAAATTTTAATATTAGCCAAGCTTGTTTCTTTGAAGCTTTAATTCTAAAATGCTGAACATAAGTGAAACAACTTTCTGTTTCTGCATGTAGACCTGGCAATATATACCAATGACCCATATTGGATAGTAAAACATTTTTTGGATGGCCTTTGGATGGCCCCAGGCTTCTTGGGTTTCCACATATCAGATCTGGCCATTCACCCCCAAACACTAAATAAAGGGATATGAGAAGGGCGACGAGAAAGGAGATATTTCATGGCACAGATATGCCATGGAAAGATAGCACTTCAGCTGTCTTCAGCTGTCTTGAAGGTTCAGACATGAGAAGGTTCAGAAACTAGGGGAAAGGGAGGAAAGGTATGAATAATTATTATGGTTGATGATCTAGTTTTGGGAGGAATTCCAGAGAAGTTTCTGTTACTGTCATCACTAATCAGGATAAATAAGTCATCATTGCCTATTGGGTGGCCTGTTCTGGGGAGCTCTGGTGTTCTGTTTAGGTAGTTTGGGTCTTTTTCTTAAAGATGTTATGATCTAGTCCTGTCCTCAGAACACAAACTGATTGTGAATCCACTGAAGAGAGAACGGCTTAGGACAAGGACACTTAAAAAATGGAGGTAGGAATGCTAAACTTTTCTCCTGTTTTTAGTTATTTGATGGACCCAAGTAAGTTGTCATTGTTTTTCAGGAAAAGCGGCTTTTACATTGGCTGCACACCTTTTAAAATTAGAATAGGAAAATTAAGTATATTTTACTGGCTATGTTATGAATTTATATTTTCTTCACAGTACCAGAATTTCTACATAGTATATTTAAATTTTTTCGTTTTATATGTGGCATAGTATCATTTTTATTGAGCGTTTAGGGGAAGGTGGCTCAGTGGTAGAGTGCTTGCCTTGCATGCATAAGGACCTGGGTTTGATTCCTCAGCACCACATAAGGAGAAAAAGCCAGAAGTGGGGCTGAGGCTCAAGTGGTAGAGTGCTAGCCTTGAGCTGAAGAGCTGAGGGACAGCACCCAGGCCCAGAGTTCAAGCCCCACGACTGACAAAAAAAAAGAAAGAAAGAAAATGTCAAAGTTTAACAACTTGTATTTAATTTAGCAGTTGGGGAGGAGTTATTCTTCAAAGTGAACTTTTTATAGTTACCACTTGACCCTTCTGCAAAGGACACACAAACTGAGTTGCTCAAACTAAAATCCTTGGTACACTCATCATTGCTTTGGAAACTATCCTGGTTCTGTCTTCCTTGACCCATCTGTCCAGTTCTGTGTCACCATCAGTTCTTGCCCAGACAGTGGTATATATTTTTTAACTGTTTTCTTCTGATTTTACTCTTAACTGCTTCTGTTTATTTGTTTAATTAATTTTGAGACAGTGATACCTAGCCAATAAGACCCAAAACTCAAGCTCTCAATCATAATAGCTCCCTTCATAGTTCTTAGAGGCTTGCACTACTACACCAGACTCTAATTTATTTTATTTCTAAAAATTATTAATTTTGTTTATTTTTGTGCCATTCCTGGGGCTTGAACCCAAGGTTTGGGCTCTGTCCCTCTATCCCTCAGCTTTTTTGCTTACTTCTTATGCCATAGCTTGTAGTTAATTGGAGATAAGAGTCTCCAGGGCTTTTCCTCCCCAAGCTGGCGCCAAGCCATGATCCTGAGATCTCAGCCTCCTGAGTAGCTAGGATTACAGACACCAGACATGAGCACCTAGCTCCAATTTATTTTTACATAGCTGGCTAATAATCTTAAACAGATACTCAAATAGAATAAAGTAATTTCTTTTGTAAATGACTTCTCATATACTTACAATAGAAGTCTAAAATTTTAACTATAATTTATAAAACTGTTATATACTCTTACTTATTCTCCCCAAATTCTTCACTATTTTTGTTTGAGGCAGCTGCTTAACTATAAAAGATATGATTTTTCAGCCTGTTTTTATAGGTGGACAAAGTATTTTTGGCTCAAGTAGAGAGGCAGTTCCTTTTTAATAATAAAAAGGCTAAGGGAAGAGCCCCCCCTTTTTTTTTTTTTTTGGGGTCCAGTCATGGGGCCTGAACTCTGGGCCTGGGTGCTGTCCCTCAGCTCTTCAGCTCAAGGCTAGCACTCTACTACTTGAGCCACAGCGCCACTTCCGGCTTGTTTTTTTTCTTCTGCTTATGTGGTACTGAGGAATCGAATCCAGGGCCTCAAGCATGCAAGGTGAGCACTCTACCACTGAGCCACCTTCCCAGCCCAGCCCTTTTCTTCTGTAAAGGCTTCTTGTTGTATCTCCATTTCTGATGTCTAGGTTCTATTCTTGTCTGAGTAAGTAGGACAACCATGAGGTAACCAACAAGTGGAAGGGAGTACCCAGATTCTAAGGATGTCTGTGGAAAGAGTCTTAATGGGCTCCTAATAACTATTGCTAGGCTGCTCAGTGAGCCTGGGTTGCCTCTTTCAGACAAGTTGTGTGAGACAAATGAATCCTTCCTGTAGTTGGCTGTTGTAACTTGGAACTGAATGCGTTCTTATCAGATATAAAAGGACCTACACAATCAAGGCTTTACCTGTCTTTCTGACCTCATCTTACCACCTCTGCTGTTGACTGGGCTCTAGCCACATTAAACTGGCTACCTAACAAATGCTTGCTCACTTCCAAATTCTGCCATGACTGAAAGGCTGTAAGTGACCTGATCCTGTTGACTCTTCTAATGTATCATTGCCTTCTTTATTACAGTAGCAACAAACATATTAAGATAATCATATCTTGTTCTTCATATTGGATAAGAAAAGTACCCATGATACAGTGGAAGAATAGAATAGTGATGGTAGAGGGAAGAAGAATATGTTCAAATCATAAAATTAAATAGAACTCATCTTCTGTAAATTTGGGCCAGTATTTAAAAACAAGTCACAGGTGGTGATTATTGTATTAGCATGTTCCCTATACTTGTAGTTCCAGTGACTAACAGAATTTAGTTATTTTCACTCAAAATTATCAGCTTCATTTGCAGGGTATTGTGCACAGAGACATTGTAATTCATAGCCATGGAAACATAGCTTTACTTTGGAGACATGTACTTCATATTTGCGTTTCCTGAGTGAATGAATTTCTGTAGCTAGCAGGAGGACATATCTTGAAATGAATCTCTACTTTCTTTACTATTTTCTACATGGTTCTCACTTATTTAATATATGCATAAATGGAAGAAGAAGACACGATTCTTTTACTGCCTTTTAGTTTTCTGCTAACATTACCTAGTCAGTAATAGCATGGAGGCAGTGATATCTAGCCAATCAGATCTAATGAAACATAAAAGGGGAAAATCATTAACAAATATGATCTTTTAAAGATGCTAATATGCAGTTTCCCATTGTGATGTAGATTGTAATGTTATTATTAACATTCATCTTACTTTAAAATTAATGACCATTTTTGCCTTGTGTTGATTTCACTAAATCCTAATCATACTGGCTTTTGCCTAATGCTGCTGGTCCTTCACTCCTTGGTTTGTCCTCCCTGGTGTAATTTACTTTTCCAGTTGTTTGCCTGTACTGTGTTTGAGAACCTATCTAACCTGGCCTTTTCTGTAAGAATATTATAACACTTCTTACCAGTGTTCTGATTCTGAATTCTCTGATGCCCACATTTTCAGTTATCTGCCTCGTGGCAGACAATCCAAGGTGCATTCATTTCACTGAACAACCTATTTTACATAGTTTGGCCACCGGTTCTTCCAAAAAGAGATATTTTAGCATCTTTAGTTTTTCTTTTCAGAATCCCCTGTAACTAAACTATTACAATGTTTTTCCATTCCTTTCCTGTTTTCTAACGCTATATTGTGTTTTGTGATTTGTGCTAGATCTGGTTGTCAGCACTATTTAAGTAATCTCCGAAAATACAGAGATGAGTGTTGTAATACAGTTTTTGTCTTGTGAAGCTTAAAGAGAAAATGAGCGCCTTGAACAGGAATCTTGTCTCCTTTACTTTGTATGGTAGCAGAGATGTCCATCCAAATAACAAGTGATTAAGAACAGGTTTTTGAATTCACAGCCAATGACTAGAGCATAAACTTTCTGAATTCCATTTCTGTAGCACGAGAAGATCTGTGGGAATGAAGCTCATGCTTTTGTTTTGTTTCATCCTTTTTACTGTAAAGTACAATACTCCCGGGCATATTTGTTGATATTGTTAAAGATTTTCCAAAGACTTTTAGAAATAAAATGGACTCAGTGTACACCACATCTCTCCTGTTCTCTTTAGGTTTTGGGAGAAAGGATGTTGTAGAACACTTACTGCAGATGGGTGCCAATGTCCATGCTCGTGATGATGGAGGGCTCATCCCACTTCATAATGCCTGTTCTTTTGGCCATGCTGAGGTTGTGAGTCTGTTACTGTGCCAAGGAGCAGATCCAAATGCCAGGGATAACTGGAACTATACACCTCTGCATGAAGCTGCTATCAAAGGGAAAATTGATGTCTGCATTGGTAAGTATTATTTCATAATATAAATGTGAAGCTCACCTGGTATACAATGAGTGCTTTTCTTACCATGGTAGTGGTGTAAATACCCTCAGAATGGGTAAAGGCTTATTGCTTCTTTTAAAGGAAGTCTTTTCAGTCAAAAGGGAAATAGACAAATGATCATCTAAAACTGGTTATGCACAAGATTCACAACATTAATGCTCCAAATGCAAGGAAAATACCAACTGATATAGAACTAAATACCAACTGATGTAGAACTAAATTTTGATGAATTACTCCTGTCAGATTTAATATACAGACTCTTCATAGAAAGACTGCAGGCTGTTGATCCTCTTATCAATGAAGAACTATTCTAAAGAACAAATTCTTAATGAATTGATGACATATTTGGATACTATATGTGATAGAGAAAATCCTCCTGTGTTAAAGCAAAAGCCTTTAAGTTGCTAAAATTCAACACTAGCCAGTTAGTACTGGAAAGCTCTGAGCATGTATTTTGAATGCAGTAGTTCGAACTTAGTATTTTTAATATGTGCCTAGAGAGAAAATAATTTCAGACCAAAATGAACTTTTCAGCCATTTGAAGTGCCTAAGTCATATGAATTTATATTCAGCAGCATTTCTGATCTGCTTATGTGTCTATTTATTCTTGTGTTACTGTGTTAAGCTTTTAAACTCTGAAATCTACTAGTTAACCTCTAGAGGACAAGCGTACTTTCTCCTGAGTGTCTTCAGTTTCAAGATGATAAATGATGATTTAGCCCAAGGCAGATCGAGTTAAGTAATTGTTGTCTTTCTGAATAATAGCCAATTCATTATAATTGTTTTCTATATGCTAAACTTGAAATACATGTCATTTTAAAATATGTACTGATAGTACCATTATTAAGACTTTCTCCTAATAGTGATTATTCCTTCTTCTTAAACACCTATTCTAGCCTCCAACATATTTGTCAGTTTTTCTGAAATTATAATGCCTTAATAACATTCTCTGTTGTTATCCTTTGTCACTTTATTGCTTTGAGCCTTTGAATGTTTTGGCCTTAGAGCTCCTTAACACATTTCGTTTTCAGTTGATTCTCTCATTTCTTCCTCAGTTTCTTAGTGCCCAGTTACATCCAGGACTAAGGTGTCACATGAGACTGACAACCTTGGTATACTTCAGGGATTTCTAAAAGCGATTCCTGTAGGATACTGTCGATTATTGGATGTGTTAGACAAAACAGTGATCTAAAAATGTCAATATCTTAAATCCTAGAACCTAGGAATATATAAATTTGCATGACAGATTTGTTGTTTGTGCTTTAGGTGTCTACATAAGAATCCATTGCCAGATCCTAGGTCATGGAGATTTAAACCCTATATTCTGCCTATATATTTTGTTTGTTTGTTTTTGTTTTGTAAGTGCAGTTGCTCGATTCATTAGCTAAAAGTTTGTTAGTTTATGTGATGTTTGTGCTTTCCTTTTTGTTGCATGGTGTTCCATTGTATGGACCAGGCTGGTTGTTTCTGTTAGGAAGAAGGCTGCTGGGAACATATGTATCTTTGTGTGGGCATATAATTTCCGTTTCTGGGTGGATCCCTAGAAGTAGGAATACAGTTCTGATAGAGTATAAACATCTACTCTCATTGACACCTAGAAGGAGATGTCAATCCTCTATCCAGTGAATAGGCCCAGGTTTTAGTGCCCGCCCTGCTGCTTCCCTCTCTTAGTGTCTCTATCTGCCTGATTCTGTCTGTTTCTCTCTCTCTCTCTTTGATGGTACTGCGGTTTGAACTCAGAGACTCACACACAAGTGCTCTATCACTTAAATTTATTTCACCTACATGCCCTCACTTTATAATTTAGCTTGTTTTTCAGAAAATAGGGCTTGTGCTTTCACCTTGACCAGCCTCGGATCGTCAGCCTCTGTCTCCTGAGGATCTGGGATTACACACTTTCACTACTATGCCCAGGCTAGATTCCGATCTCTTAAACAGAAACATAAAGTGTGCATTTAAGCATGTTCAAACTGATTGAATGCCTTGTTTGATGCACCTTCAGTATTCTACTCACATCTTTGTTGGTTGTCGGCTTGTAGACTCATTGTTCATTACTGGAATCTAATTTTGTGCATAGGAAATTGTATGGAGTGACAAGGCAGTTCACAAGCAGGTGGCTTGGTTTATCTGACTTTTGCATTAGTATTATGGATAAGGAAACTGAGTAATTTTCTACTTCTTGATTAGGTGATATTTTGAGTTTAATTTAAAGTAATGGGAATTTATCTGTGTGCCAGACATAGGCATGTAAATATACAAATGCATAGCACATTTTATAGTCAAATTATGCTTAGATTGTCTGTTATTTATCATGTGACTTTTTCATGAGGGTGTGAGTAGTGGCATATTGATTTTAATCATGTGACTTTTTACAATAGATTTTCTATGAAGAATAGAAGTCATACCTTTGTTGTTACTGTAGATTAAACCCTTGTTTTACCTATCTCAGGAGGAGATGATGAGTTGAAGTTGAAGGGAGGTACAAAGGTGGTAAGTTGGCCCAGAAATACTGTGGCAAGATAGTATTAGCAAATGGTTCTCCTATGAGATATGTCAAAGTACTCAGCCAAGTAATTTCACTAATATTTATGTCTTCTGCATGAGACATATGGTTCAGACTACCTACCGTTTTCCTGAGGAAGAAAGAAGAAAGTTGCTCCTTGGCTGCAGTCTGTAATGATGATATAACACTTGTCATAATGGAAATGCTTTCTGGATTCAGAACCATACAAGGGCTGAGTTTAGTGGCTCAAGTCTGTAATCCTTGCTGCTCAGGTGTCAGAGATCAGGAAAATCTCAGTTTGAGACTAGCCTGAGCAAAAAATAAGACTCCCTCATTTCAACATACAAGCTGGGTATAATGGTACACAGGAGACATAGGTAAGAAGGTTTCTAGCCAAGCAGAGTTTGATCAAATGGTGAGACAAAGGTCAATGGAGGAACCAATGCAATAGTGATACTCACAAGACACTACATCAGAAATGATATGTACAACTGGCGGGGCGGGGGGGGGGGGGCAGAGTTGTCGGGGAGGGAAAGTGGGAGAAAAATGAGGGAGGGGATAACAAGTTAGACAAGAAATGTACTCACTACCTTACTTAGGCAACTGTAACCCCTCCACATCGCCTTGATAATAAAAAATAAGAAAAAATTCAAGACCCAATAACTACAACAAATAAGGGGGGGAGGGGAGGTTTTTAGGTGGGCGTGGCTCAAATAATACTAGGGTTTGAAATGAGGGCCTCAGACCAATGCTCTACCAATTGAGCCACATACCCACCCTTACTTTTTTGGTGGTTATTTTGGAGCTGGAATCTCACAGACTTTTCTTCTGGACTCTTAACCACAATCTCCAGATTTCAGTAGCTAGGATTATAGGCATGAGCTATAGCATTTAGATTGAGCTTCCTTAGGCTGATGACTCACCTACTTATTTTCAAACTGCTTTCAAGAAGGTGAGCATGTTTATGCATTGACCAGACAAATTTAGTAATAGTTTGGTAGGCATTCTAGGTAATGCATAAGTCAGTATGTATTTGCTGAGTATACACATACACATGATTTATGTATAGTTTTATATTTACTTATTCTGTTTCATTAGAATTCCTGGGAAAGCCCTAGTTAGTATGAATGTGTTCAATCTCCTAAGGCCTTAAGAAATATGGTATGGATATTTAAGAAGACAAATAGCAAATAAATAAAATTAAAACCTTCATTTTTAAAAAAAGTGATATAAGGCTTTACTTAATTCTTGTCTGTCAATTTAAAAGGTTATACATTTACATTTACTTTGTACTGACCATGAGATGTTAGTACAATCTACAGATGAGAGATACAGATGAAAATGGTATTTGAAACAAGTGGTTCATGTACTCAGGCAGTTCCTGATTTGCATGGTTATCATTGTCATCTAAAACTTAAAGATGTTAGAAAAGTTTCCTTGCTATATAAAGTTCCATGGTTTGTGGGATTTGGAGGTACAGTTGGAGGTAATGATTTCAAGAGTAATGAAATCATTACTCTTGTTTTAGTTCTAGATTCATTTAAATGTGCTCGTCTTTTGTGCATTGGGTGTATGCTAGAATTTTCATCTGAAAACAAAATCCATAATTAAGAATGTAAACCTCGCTGTGAGATTTACTCATATTTTATCCTCAGATGACAGTATAAATAAGATTTACTTAAAAATATGACTATAGTATCCAAATATATTCTTATTGTGGGTCAAGACTGAAATTTTCTAAATTTGCTGTGGTGCAGATAATCATGGGTACAAATAGAGGATACATATTTTGTTTGTCTGTTTGGAGCATGATTTGGAGTGTAGTCTTTGCAGAAAATATACCCTTGAACATGAGGAATGCTCTTGGCTATAAGCAGAAATGTTCTAGTGGATCCAGTAAATGGCAGTTATGACTGCCATGGGCAATTTTTCAAGTCATGGGTTCCAGTGTTCCCACAAGGGAATTATTTGATTTAATTCATTGGGAAGAGGATACTGCACAGGAATAGCATATAAGTCACTTAGGACAAATGTACATATGTGCCTTTTAGAATTCACAGAAGGAGAAGAAAGTTTGAGTTATGGTTCTGAGATAATCTTTGTTTTTTCTTGTATAGAATGATGGATTAGAAATCAAATGCTTGGTGCTAGAAATAGGTATGAAATCTCCTTTATCACTTACCTGTGAATTTAGTGTTTAATTTTTCATTTATAAAGTGGGCATCATGTGTATTACATAAGATCGTTCTCCATGTTAAAAGAAGTGAAGTATGTAAATCAAGTACAACTTCTCTATATGCTGTTTCCTTCTGCTTCTCCACCTTTGAGTGTCAGGAAGGTATTCACATAGATGGTTTTATATTCCTACACAAATGACACTCAGAAAGCTTTATGACTGATATTACACACACTACTGTTGGTCACCATCACTGTGAATTAAATGTTTTGCCCTTTTTTT